CTCCGCTAGACCCTTCTGCCACTCAGCCTTGGCCCACCAACCGACAAGATCCTCCCCAACGCTCTCGAACTTCTCATTCAGCAACGCCATCTCCTTGACCCAGTAAGGAAATACGTAGATGTGGGCGTCGCGGTAGGTCGTCAACATCTTCACCTGCGCGTGCTTCTTCACCAGGGAATGACGGATGAGAAGCCCTTTCTGCTCTTCCATCCGTTCGTTCAGTGTATCCATAGGTATCGAGAGCACTAGCTTTGACAGCCCATACCGGATCGAAACAGGTCCGTCCGAATTATGAGAGACTGCTGGAGCCTCCTCTTGCTCTAACGGTGTGGTAGCCACAAAATCTGTCACCTCGCCCTTGACGCTCTCTTCCCGCCCCCTAGTCTGATAGTAAACTCCGAGACCGCCCCGGCGGCCGCCTTGCTCACCACCCATTCCAATGCTCTTGGGTCCATTGGAGTTCCAGCCGCCGCTGATAGTAGAGCCACCCAGCGCGCTTTGGGTGACCATCCATGCCTCAAGGAGGGATTCTCCTGGCAAATCGCAAATGAGGTCACAGGGGAGAAGGAGGAAGTCGGACTTGATGCTTGACTGTACCTCGGGGAGACGCAGTAGCTCCGCGGTACCCGTCGTCAGGGTAAGGTCTGCAGGAGCGACAACGGAAGGTGAAGGTGCCGGAAGAGATGTGAGGTGAGGATTTTGCGAGAGAGCAGCTTCTAATGGAGCTTGACTGGCGGGGGGTGTGATAAGAGTGATATCTTCACTTCGGTTAGAACAGAATACCGGTGCTCGACGTTAGGACAGGCGAATGTTCGTATCACTCAACGCTGATTCGCAATTACTCACTTGTTATGCCCATCCGATAGCACCAATCCAGAGGATACCACACCATAGGACGGTTTGCGATAGGTAACAATGCTTTGGGAAATTCTTCAGGATTGGAGGTGAATGTGTTGAGAGAGACGCCAGGTCCGCACAAAATGAGGGCCTGAAAGCCCGTCGGGGGCACAGGAATCGAGTGCGGCATTGCGAGATGCTTGTCTTACAAGCGCCTCTGACTGACTGAGACGTTCTGATTGTAGGATTGGTGTCGAATGGTGCAATGATCGGGTTGAAAGGATCACCGCGGGGAAGAGGGGAGGAAGACTCGTCGTATTATCTTATGCGATGGTTGACCTCAAGCGCGCACAACCTGCTAGAGTGTCTGAGTATTCAGGGTTTCATATATATCGAGTCGTAAAACTCAGCGAAGGTGCTGTTTTCTGTCCGCCCTCTGACTCAACCTGACATGCATGGGAAGATTGTACCTATCTTTTGTTAAACAAAATCCCGCCGTCACGTGCCGATAGCTCTATGTCGCTGCAAATCAGCCAAACAACCTTGCTGCCCTAAGTCATGATAACGGTCTCATCACGTGTTGATAGATATTAAGCAAACAAAATAAACAGTGCAAACATAGCTAGTTCCTCGCATTAGTCAGGTACCTTAGGTAAGGTACGTATTGTAATTTAACAAGCGGGGAAACACCGCGGTAACCAGGACATCACCAGCCACATGTTTCTCGGCTCGTCCGAGGCCTTGAGCTCGCTCCGTTAACCAACCACCCTTTTTCCTCTCATGCAACCTTGAGATGTGATCATTATACACCATCGCAATTGGATTGACTTCTATGCGCCTGCCATCTATCATCTCTCAGTGCCCGCAATGTCTTTCCCATATTCCCAGGATGCTCGTCGGCGGCGGGTTGGAGCTGGTACCGGCTTCAGCTCCTCAGGGAGACGGACCGTCATGGGGTACTGGGTGCCACTGGCTTTGACGGTCGGCATCGCAACAATTGGCATAGCTGCATGGATTTGGAGCGAACGCAGTGATGATGACGATAATAATGACGAAGGCGGATACCCCCTGGACGACTCGAGGGATGACCGGTACCCCCCGCCGGGCGCAGAGGGAACGCCAGCCGGCATTGACGGCGGATATGCCCGGTCGACCGGGGCAGACATCCATGGTGACGACGTTGGTATGATGGCTCGTATGCAGGGTGCTTTGCGGCGCACACCGAGCCCTCAGCAGATCTTCGATGGGGCCAGTAGACGGGTCGCGGCCGGTATGGCTGCGGCGGGCGCATTCATGGGCAGCGCTCTCACATCGATACGCGAGGAGGATCGCGGTGACTTTGAAGATCACTCGCGATGGTCCGAAGAGGTTCGGTCGAGGGCTACTCAGGGAGAAGCTCAACCTGCCGCCGCAGCTCCGACGATGAGCGGAGCGCTTCCCACTCGCAGCGCTGTGAGCGGCCCTCCTGCTCTCGACAAAAAGAAGAAGACAGTAGCGATTGTGGTCTCCTCCGAGTTGGCAGATCACGACCCTGACGACTTCACTGAGCACGCGGTAGGGTTCTTGTTGGCTCGATGTCATGGATTACGCTAACTATGAACAGTCTATTCTTTCTCACCTCCCTGAACATGTCGACTCTGAGACCGCAAAGGTCTTCGTTCTTATTTATGCGCCAGGCCTGAAGCATGCACCCAACCAGGGCGGCTCATCCAATCCTACTCTCTCCGTTACATCATCCTATTCCAACATCGCTCCTGAGGAGGCCAGGTCGCCTGGAGAAGCACCTAGCGGCGACCTGTCCACTGTCGAACCTCGCCCAGCTGATGAGCTGGAGGGCGCCACACCATTGTTCCGCACTTTATACACGCAGGCGCAGGCCATTATCGACAAGGAGAACGCCATCATGCCGTTTAGCACTGCGACGGGATACGTGCACCTTGTGCGCCATCTTTCGCCCGACATTGTCTACGTACAGGAGTCCTTGACAGGCAAACAAGGCGATGCGGTCCAACACATTTCTGGCTGGGTCCGACAGGTCGTGGTTGTAGTGGGAGACGAAGGCGGCCGAGGCGGCTTAATCGACAGTGAAGATGAATCGGTACTTGCAGAGAAAGATGAGAAGTGGTGGCAGAAAGAGGGAATGACGGGTATTGGCAAGCGGATTGACGTGGTCGATGTCCATCGCACGGGTGAAGACTGGCGACGAAGAGTTTCTGGCCACGACTGATCTTACGCATCACGAAAAGCTGGGATGATTCATTCGAATGTTTTTTCCGTGCACTTATCCACTGTTTGATGATGACTGTGATTGATTCCCCCTTACTGATGAATTTCTACATGACCGTAATTTTAGTGTGCATATTGAACAATGTCCTTATTTTCACCAACCCTACTCCTTGACCTTGTAGTCACGGATAGATATGTCTCTTCATAGATCTGAGGATCGCTTTCGCGCAATGTGATACTGGGGAAGCGCTGGGCTCTCTACCTAGAGTCCAGGATCAGTGGCGCTCAAGGTCAGCGCTCTCCACCATCCAATCCCAACAACCGTCACATAGTCTCCGACATCTCTACGCGCCAGTGGAAAAAAGAGTTTGAGATTGAGTCTACTGCCATCCACTTCAGACTGGTCCTTCATAGAAGTTCTGCAGGGTTTACTGTCATAGGTCAGGGTCCGACGAATGAGGATCGTCCTGCATCAGCCCGGCGGCTACAGTAATGCGGCTGCTAATGGCAGGACGGTTCGACGAAAAGGAGGATGGGCTCGGACGCAAGTTCGTCAGTGAGTTTGAAGAATCGTATTTTGTTTTATGGAGGGTGATAATGCTTAAATGTGCGCTGAGTCCTCAGGTTTCCTCATCGTTGTAGCCTCCCTGGTGGACATCGCTTCCTTCTTTGCTCAATACTTTTACTTCAGTCTTCTGGCAAGACTTCTTGCATTTTCACTCGTTTATTGCTATTTTACTGAAGTGATACATTCTATTCTTGTCCTTGAATTTGCTTCCTAATTCTCAAAATGGAGGGCGGATTGTCCCATCCTGGCTCAGCCGCAGCCTCATACACCGTCTCCTGCGCCTCGGACCACGAAGAATCAACATTTCTCAAAAGAAATCACCATCTCCGCTGGGCCCAACTCGCTCTATCCGTGGTCTGCCTCGGCTCTGCCCTTGCAATCGTCGGCTGCGAAGCCGTACCGTTCCAGCACTACCGGAGCACCTCTGGGTACGAAGAAGCAGGACTGGCCCTGTGGCCATTGAACTTTGATCTCCGACCAACGATTGCGATTTTGTCTAGTGGCTGCGTGATCGCAGTCCTCAATCTCATCTATATCGTCGCCGTCCTCATCCCTTCCGTGAGTCGTCTTGCTAACGTGTAAGTAATCCTGAAAAGATACTGACATGGCCAGCCTCATTCCCACATCCGGCGGCTAAACGTCCTCGCCTCGGGAACCGCAGTCGCGGCCCTCATCGCTGCAACAGTCGGACTGGCATTCGCGATCAATCTCCCGCAATCCACGTATCCGGGTGGGTTTTCGCACAATGAGACACTGCACTCGTGGACATGCAAGTGGAAGGCTATGCGGAGCGTCACCTCGAGTGAGAATGCCTCGTTACATGCACCGACGCATTTCGAGCGGGATTGTCGGGAGACGCGGGCAGGCTTTGTGCTTCTAGCTCTGTTGATCGGGCTGGAGATTGCCGGCGGTGCGGTCGGTGTGTTTGGAGTCTGGCTCGAGCGGAACGTATCCAGGCAGAGGAGTTTTGGCGTGCAAGTGGAGAAGGTGACTGCTTTGACGAAGAATTCAAACGGGGTGTGATATACTCAAGTTCACTGGGGTGTGTCGTTATGCTGTGCATTATTTCCATGGATGTCTCCTTTTGCCATTCTGCTAAGCCATGATTGAATGAGAGGTTTGGATCTCCTACAATATTTATTTATTTAATTTCATATTGATTTTTGCCTGTTTCTTCAAATTTACCGAGCGCAGAACCAACGTTCAAGAAGCCGACGGCGGGTCGGATATAACGTCGTCTGTGGCAAGCCCTCTTCCTCGGCTCCCAACATGCTCATGATGATTTAAAATCACAGATAAAAAGGAATCATGATGCAAATTGCATCATCTGAATTTGTCAGTGTCGTAGAAACGAACGCCATCGTACAGCATGGGCAAGAAAATCGAATGTTACCTTGACTGCGGTTCGTCCCGGCTATCTCTCATCAAACTATACGACTCTTCGTATATGCTAACAAATCCACATAGTATCACCCTACAGCTTCTACGCTTTCACGTATCTCCAGAAAAATGCAGACGCGCTCGCCTCGCTAGGGGTGGAAATCGAGTAGGAGCCTCTCCCCTCTCCGCTGACACATAATCTCACATGGCCCAGATACATCCCTGTCTTCCTGGGAGGCATCAATGTAGGAAGCGGTACGCCTATCCCAACTGTCCCCTGATCCTAAAGTGCCTTATTCTGACCAGCAAAAGGAAATAAACCCCCATGGACTCTCCCAGCCAAAGCCGCCTACTCGACGTACGACGGCAAGCGCGCCCAGAAGTACTTCGGGCACAACTTCGAAGTACCCGCGTTCTTCCCTATCCTCTCGCTTCTCGTACATGCCCCGCCCTATGCTTTCGAAAGGAAGAGAACCTAACACTGTGCAAACAGCCCCAACGAGCACTCACATACATCAAGCGCCAACACGCCCATAAACTCGTCCCGGCCTTCCTTGCCTGCTTCGAGACGATGTGGAACGGCCAACTGGATATCTCCAAGCCGGAGAATCTAGCCAAGGCATTGGGGAGAGTCTTCTCAGGTGCTGAGGTCGAGGAGATACTGGCTGCGGCGGCGAGCCCCGAGATCAAGAACGAGCTTATGGCGACGACAGAGAGGGTTGTCAAAGAGCTGGGGGCTTTTGGGTGTCCGTGGTTCTGGGTAACTAATGGGGAGGGAAAATCGGAGCCGTTCTTTGGGAGTGATCGCTTCCACTACATGTGGGATTTCCTGGAGTTGCCACATCAGGATTTAAGGCTGAAGGTTGAGGGGAACGCGAAGTTGTAGATGATTGACAGGAGCATTGTCCCTGGACAGTGTATATAAAGCTTGATCTATGAGCTTGATGAGCTGATGTGGAAGCTTTTCCTTCTGAATTTCAATAAAGCCTGGATTCCAACTTATCAGCTTGTATTCACTCATTCGCTGCCTATATGACCTTTCGCAAGTAGTGAAGGGGGGGATGACCCTAGCAGCCACAGTTGTCTTTCGAAGTGCTTAAGTGCCATTAATATGTAGAACGGTACGAAAGTCACATAAATTTCCTATTTGCCGAACCTTGAAAATAGAATCTTGTGTTCTAGAGAGGATGGAACTACAGCTTGGCCTTTCTCAACTTCGTACTGTCCACCCGCATACCCTCATCATCCTGCTCCGCCACCTCAAGGACAGGCAACTCCTTAGGCATGATCCGCCGTGGCCGAGACCCAGGAACAACAGCGTACTTGGAGAAATCGGAAACACCGCAATTGTCGCGCAAGAAGTCCTCATCGAGAACCAATTGCCCGTTCACGATGTCTGTGGGGCTGTTCAAAATACCCAGAATAGCATCGGAGAAGATCGTCTAGTCCTTTTAGCGATATGTCTTCAGCGCGCAAACGGGTATACTCACAGGCTTCCTGAGATCAGCTTTCCGGCTGGGATCTTCATTCGTGGTCGCCTCTGTGGCGGCTGATTCGATGGACTTGGAAAGAGAGTAAGTATATGCAATAGCAGAACGATCAAGAAACGTACCACTGCAGGCCAGATGCTGGTGATGGCCATATCCTTCGCGCCTTGTCTGACAAAATCCATGGCTAGACCCTTGGTCAAGACGCTCATTCCCACCTTGCCTGTGCCAATATTAGCCCCGAATATCTAGTGTGAAGAAAGCAGAGAAAATGGGAAAATATACCCATCGCATAAGCCGTCTTCCCCCGAAAGAACCGCGAGTAGATCGGCGGTGAGACGACAATAATCCGTCCCTTCCACCCGTTCTTCTCAAAGTATGGCAATGCCGCCTGCACACTCGCATACAGACCCTCTGGATTCACTCTTTGCATGAGCTGGAATCGCTTGGTTGGTGTATTTGCCACAGAGGACCACCAGATCGCCCCGGAGTTGTAGACCAGGACATCGAGGCGGCCTGCCAGGCGAACGGCCTCGTGAACCAGGTTCTCGACCTGCTTCACGTCGCGGACGTCTACTGGGAGGGCGAACGCTTCGCCACCGGATTCTTTTATCTCTCGCTCGACAGTATTGATAGTTGATTGCGAGGAGTTCGGATCCGGTGGGAAGGGGACAGTTGCATAGGCGTTGGAGGTGGTCTTTGCCGCCACGACGACTGGAATAGTGTCAATGGCTTGCTTGAAGATGTGCCTGTGACTTGGGCATACCTTTGTAGCCGTTCTTGGCGAGGTCTATGGCAATCTGCCTGCCGATACCACGTGAAGCGCCCACGACGAGAGCGACTGGTTTTTTTGATGTCATTTTGTATCTTTTTGTTGTCTGAAAATGAAGTATGTTGAGATCAGAAATGAGGATATGTCATGTTCATATAACGCATGGCACACGAGGAAATGGTCGTTGCCCTCCACATCCTCGGTAGGTTGTAAGTGCTCAACTCCGAAACCACCGAGCGCGGGTCGGCCCGTTGTGGTCACTGGTGATTTATTGATTAATTATCAACTGTGGCCATGACAAGTCCAGAACCACCAGGACAATCTATCCGATGGATGCCTGTTTTCTGAACAAGAGGTTCCTATCCTTTGTGGTTTGAACTTGGATCCTCTAGCATCTTAAGGGCACAATAACGCCGTCCAACAAGTTCATTGGTTTTATTCTTTGCTGGAATAGGGCTTTGATACAACAACGGTGGATGTCGCAAAATAACACGCAGCTGGTAACTTTAAGATTAAGCCAAACATCGAGGCTGCCTTGTTTGTCCATCTCTCTACTATGGACAGCCACCTGCGAAACAATACCCCTCTGCCCTACAGGCAATTGGTAGGATACCAATGTACTTTTCTTCCTGGCGGTCGCCGACCATCAGGATCTACTACCTCTGGTAGACTGATAATCTATACGGGTTAGGTCTCGGTTCCTATTGATTCAGCCCCTACTCCACGGGGTTGAGCGGCTTCGATATAGGACTTGGCGAGAGAGTTTAATGAAGCCTCTGCTCTCTGTAATCTCCTTGAATCTCACAGAAAACATCCAGTGGTATCAACAATGCCTATAATCGCATCTCCACGAGGATTTGAAGTAAAGTCTGCAGACGAGGAGCATCTGTACTCGCTCTCATGGTTGACGAGACGTTGGCCAGTGATAACGCGTCTGCGCGGTATTTTGAAGGGAGGATCATGATACGTCGTCTGATCGAGAATCATAGGGAGCGCAATTACCAGCGTCAATTAATCTCCGTAAGCTCCGTAATACGGCTGAAGCATCACAGTCATCGAGCAGCGGATCAACCTCGGTCATAGGTGTAGGACTGTTCTGATCTGGAATGACGTCAGATGGCATGCTTCCGACCCTTGTATTCAACTTGTCGTGGAGTGGGCCATGCGAGCTAAATTGCTTCTGAGTTTCCCTCTGCAGAATCTGAAGGACGACCCTAGTTTGTGGTAGAATCACCTGCTGTATTTTAGGCCTTTTGAATCGCGTCGAGGACGTTAGAGGAGTGGAGCTGTCGTTCCCGTCCCCTCGTGCACGTTTCCGGCACTTCTCTGCTGCGACTAATAACATTTGCTCAAACTGTTCTAGGCCAGTCATAGTGCGAAAGAGCTCTAGAAATATTGCCGCAATGGGCCATGTATGAGAAAGGACTTGGAGCATGTCTAGGTTGGCTTCCAGATTCTGTCTGATGGCATGCAGGAGTGATGGTATTGAGGCTTCCATTTGGCTTCTCAGTGTGACGAAAGATACAACAGCGTGGCAGATTCTAACAGGTAAGCTCACTGGTAGTGGCACACTGGAAGGGCCCTGACTTACATGAATGATGGTGTATATTTTAGCTCGCCCTTGGACTGCAGGGTTTCGAGGATGGACACGATACTTGTGGCAGCATGAAAAGCTGAGCTTTGCGCCTCCTTTGACGAGTCGGGAGATTGAAGAAGATGTAACTGGCACACAATGGTACTGCTCGAAGATCAGCTCATAGCCTTTCCAGTGCTTCCCTGTGCAGACTCACTAGAAGGTCGAACACAGTATCGCTGACCAAAAATTATGACGAGACTGTCTCCACTGAAGCTCAGACGGACAAGAGACGAGCCAGTCATTCAGACCAAGCTCGCATTGCGCAGCCCCCTTCATCCGACTATCCTCCGTCGACCTGGAAGACAGCTTCAAGCACAGACCAAGGTCCATTAGTTGGCAGAGTTTCACGTACTGCATGAAGAAAAGCGCTGCTGTACGATCTGTTGAGCTATCGTTTTGCTCATCATACTCAATAAAGTCGCTTTCTTTCAAAGGTTCCACCGTGCAATCTTCGGAATTGATGTGAAGAGGACGGCCGAATGCTGCAGCCACCGAGCGATCGCGTGTGTAAAGAGTCCACCATATCCGCTTCCAAATCCTTCTCTTCGTAGCAGACAGTGTTACGTAGTTCTCACTGCAAGTTAAATTGGAATTAGATCTCAAGAGTACGGTACCGGGTGACTTTACCTCTGGTGGAGCCCGTGTTCCTGAGCCAAAGCTATTCCCAGACGACTCCAATAGAATATCCCACTTTCCGTGAGATCTATAGCACGTCAGCGCAATGCAGATCAACGCGCTAAGCAATACCCTACCATCAGGGCCATCCCAGTACACGCCCAATAAGACTACAGCCTGGAGGACTGTGGTAGGATCTCTTTCGTACCCAGCATCATACAGAGCTTTCACTTTCTTGTAGAAGACGCGCGGAGAGATTACGCCATTCCCAGAGCTCTGCGCATTATGGTGGAACCTCGACGCTACCATGAGTACGGCTTGAATTAAGAGGATTGACGGAGGGTTCTGAGGATTACGATATCGATGCATGAAGTCGTGTCGATCGATCACGGGCAACACTGGTGCAATCCATTTGAAGAACACATCCACGAGAGCATCACAGACAGCCTGCGAAGGTAAATCGAAGGCATGTCGCTGATTCAGTATGTCCACGTCAAGAGGTTCCAGGTGATCAACTGTCTAAAGTTAATACTTTGACAAATCCAAATGCAAGAGCTGTGAGCTACCTAAGATCGGATTTTTCGACGCATACTCATGCTCTGTGGATGATCTTGCGGATCCAGTCATTGACGGAACAGACTGCGGGCTCTCTCTGACGTCCCAACCGAGAAAGACATTCTGAAACTGTAGACCTCGTTTCTCTCGTCCGCGTGCATTTTTGGCATCCATTTTGGCCCGTCTAGTCTGATCATCTTCCGGTCAAGGCGTGATGATTACGGCCAACAACACATTTTATCTAGTGGGATAATACGCCCTGGAGATGGTGCGCACCCCCAAGTTCAAAAGACACATCCTCGGCCTCGCTTCGGAGGCAAATCCCCTGATTGGTCATTAGTCCGCCAACTGGTCAGCCAGTTATCGCACACCGCCCTGGCAGAATCTGATGGTACATTCGTACTTCGCGCCTCCGTCGCTTTCATCTCGATCTCTTCCAAGAGGCGTGTTCCAGATTAGAGAACAAGATGGCATCCGAACCCACGGCCACTGTGGCCGACTTGGACTTTGATAACGAGCAATATGACTCCGCCGAAGATGAAGATTTCCAGCTCGATGCTGATCAAGAAGATGCCGACTTGACCGGCTCCGATAGCGACGATGAGGCGACAGAACCAGCAGCGAAAAGGCGCAAAACAGGGCCTAACAAGGCAGCCACCGAAGACAAAGAACTCGACTCTGGCGATGAGGCCATGATCCAGAAAGTAAAGGCGAGAAAGGAGGGCAAGCAAAAAGGGAAGAAGTCACAAGGCGCAGCCGGCGATGAGGACGAAGACGACGTGGATTTCGATGACGATGACGAAGGTGGCCCAGGGGGCTTTGTGCGGACGCGAGCAATGAGGATGCGAATGTGGGTTGAGCTTTTGCACGGACTGGTCCCTACGTTCAGATGACTAACATTCATTGCTTGACAGGCAGGAAGAGCGAAAACCACTGGCCAAGATTGATGGTGCGACGGTTGACGTTGATGCGATATGGGCGCAAATGAATGCCCCAGATGTTGGTGCAGGCGCTCTCCCTTCGCAGACGCCAAAAGACGCCACTCCTGTGAACGACGAAAACAAAGACACCGATAGCGCCGAGAAACAGGTGCCCTCGCCCGATTCCAAACCTCAGTATACGGAGGAGATGGTAAAGATCAAAAGGACCTACAAGTTCGCCGGCGAAGTCATCACAGAAGAGAAAATTGTCCCCAAACACTCCGCCGAAGCGAAGCTTTTCCTAGCTCACGGCGAGAGCGCTGAGACCGTCACAGACGCCGATGTCGAACACGCCGCGCACACAAAGGACGCCCTCAAGCTGCGCAGACCCCTCCGCAAGATTTCGCGTTTTGATCCTAATCCCACCGGGACGATCAAGAAGAGCTGGGAGAAGCAACTCACGGCCGAGATCACCGGTCACACAGAGAACCTTAGCGGACCGAAGATCAACACCGTGGAAAAGTCTCGGCTGGACTGGGCTGCGTATGTGGACCAGGCTGGCATCAAAGACGAGCTCAAGCTTCATAGCAAAGCCAAGGAAGGTTTCCTTGGCCGCATGGATTTTTTGGATCGCGTTGTTGCCAAGCGGGAGGAGGAACGGAGAAATGCGCGGTTGAAGGGATTGTGAGACGTTGGAGTATCTGCACTCTTACACCATTTCTCTTACAACTTGTGTATGCCAGGGCGTCGCGGCAATAGCAGCTCGGAAGTCTCAAGTTGCCCGTCACTTTCCCTCTGGCGGTTTCAAGGTGCGATGCTGCCCTGAATTGGCCCCCCATTCTGCTTCGCCTCGAGGTTCGATTGCTACGGATGAATACGGCAGCAGTCATGGTAGGCAGCAGGAAGTGCACTCGGAAGGCTTGCAAATCTCTTGGATCTTGTGCTGCTACGAGCACATACGACATGACCGACGGACATCTACCTGTCGACGCTTAGAAGGCGCGGCCTTACGTACGGGCGCAGAATAGTGCGCCGAGCCACATACTATGGGAACTGTTGCAGGATACAACTGCAGGTAGAGCTGTTCGGGTCTGACGAACCCACTCGAAGTCGTGGGCGTTCTAACCGCATCGTTACGTTCAGTAAATGTACAGACTGGCCATGATATGACATCGCGGCAATCATAGGTTATTTCTGTCGTTGCGAGTCCCTTAAGGACTTTTGACTTCATGCATCTGCACCATTTCACTCCGTTCAACAGAACGCTCAGTCATGACGAACTACGTGCTTTCCCTCCTTTCCCCCAAACTTCCCAGATGGACATGTAGCATTACGGCCGCCGCTGGCAGCAGGCTTGGGCAAGTATTTAATGCCAGAGGAGGGGCAGCTAGAAGATGAGACTATAGTTATTTCAGGTTAGCTGTTGTCTATGAAATAGAGGGTGTACGGACAACATACGCGGATCAGTAGGCGCGTATTTGCCATTGATGAGATTGCCCTGGACATTGAAGAAGTACCAAGCTTCATTCAGCTCGCCCTTACTGCAGCCGACCGAGGGTTTGTGGCCTGTGATTGCAGACAGAGCGGACAGGATGTCGCTCAATTTGTATGTCTTAGACGAACTGGGAGTGATGCCGGCAGCGGCAAGAGCCTAGACCGTTAGTCTCAGTATGGGAGTAGCTCAAAGTCTGATGCATACCTTGTACGTATCGAGGCCCTTGAAAAGATCGACAGCCTTTTGGAAATAATCACCGACCTCTTCCTGGGGCTTGTAGTCGGTGTAGCAGCTGGGCTCGATGGTGTTGATGCAAGTGCCTATATCATCATTAGTGTCTGGTCGGGATTGTCAGATTTGCAAAAACGAACCATGCTTGTTCCACTCGTGCTCCCAGAAGCTCTCATCATTACCTTGGTAGTCCTTCCAGTAGGTTTGCATGTAGGACAGCAGCTCGGTCCTACCCTGCGCCTGGAGGATCCCCGTGATATTCGAATACTCGCGAGAGGAATCACAGAACTGCTGGTACGTGCCATCACAGTTGTCGGGCCTGGATCAATTGTTAGTGTCCATGTTGTACCATTTCCATTCTGCTCAGGCATACCAAAGTCCGTGGACGGTCCAGGAGTCTGAAGGACCGGTAGCGGGATTGGTGTCCCAGAATTGAGTCAAGAGCAGAGATCCTCCGGGATAATTGAAGCAGCATGAGTCAGGCACCGCGGTCGTGTTGCTACAACTCACTGGGATATTCCCTGGGCAGCTCTGAAGGTTGTGGTTATGAAAACCAGAGGTAAGGTGCATTGCACCTAGGGCGAGCTTGCCCATCGACGGGAAATGGGTAGCGGGCATCTTAGCACAATGGACAGGTTGACAGGATGGAAGAAGTTAGGGGCGAGGACGAGCAGAGTTCAAAGAAGGAACTGCATCTCCTTAATATAGGCAATTTCTTTTCAGCGTTGAAGACAGCCCGCCACAGAGACGACAGTGCATTACTATGGAGCATCGCTTCGTATCGCCAAGCGTTGGTAACAGCACATGTACTGATAACACGCCGCTGATTTGACACCGGAGATTACCTCTGATTCAGGAACACAGATCAACGCAGCAACAAGCAATCGGACGTCGCCGCCAATTTCTGGTTACTCGTAGATTTCTCTCCATCCTTGTCGTGGCGGGGAGTCGATCAGATAGAGTCCGTCCAATCGTATGGTCTGGTTCGAATCTGCAGTGGCTGGACTGTCCCTTAGCCGTCGGGAGGCCTTCGGGGTAGCATCAAGAACCATTAGAGAGTGGCTAGGATATTTTGATAATGTTGATGATTGCTGATCTGGATTTCTTCGACTCCGCCGCTATGCATCAGATGTTCAGAACGTTGCATCGAGTGATCGTGTTTCCTTGCAAATCACTTTGGATGAAAGCGCCAGGGAACGACCCATGTGTAAGAAAGTTTGGAGTAAACGAAGCAAGCAACCCTCGGAAGAAGACGGCAACTATCGGTCGGACTTGGCGTAGAGGAGTTCAACTCAATTCAGCGACAAGATCGAAGTATTTTCATGAAATGACCGATACTGAGGAAGCTGCGGTCGCTGAAGATAACATTCAACGACGACCTAGCAAACTTGTAATCGAATTGATTAGGAGTCGCCAAACATTGAGATAATCAGGCTACCGAGACTGAAAGCGCTGGTGGATCTGGTTGAGGTCAAAGTTGTTTACGTTGAAAGCAGGCGGTGCTAGCCTGGGAGCCTGAGGCTAGCAAGCATGTTTTTCCTTTCCACCTAAACATCATCCATCGTACAGCTTAGTTCTAGATGATTATCTATCCTATATCACCCTCTGCCTGGCTGCGACAATATCCACACATATGCGGTGGATTATCTCCCCGCAAATTGGCCATCTGACCTGAGTCATAGGGCGATCCGATACCGGCTCAGCATCACAGCAACTCGCATCTGGTCCGAATAGTATGAGCAGCAACCAGCCAAGCTCTCTGACTATCATTCTCGGGCCCAGTATTTGCAGGATCTTAGCCTACTCCATTTTCCTGCCTGATGGCACCCCCTAGCAGCTTCGAGATCGTCCCAGCTCAAACCGCCGAAGACTTTGCAACAGCTAGGACCTTGTTCAGGGCTTATGCTGAATCGCTCGGTATCGACCTCACCTTCCAGAGCTTCGAATCTGAACTACAGAACTTACCTAGCCAGTATGGTTCTCCGTACGGAGCATTGCTGCTAGCTTACGGAATTGATCCTAAGGTTCCCCTTGGCTGCGTGGCCGTTCGTCCACTCGTCAACAAAGGGCATCAAGCCACGGAACCCCGAAACGAAGTCAAATCGTGCTGTGAGATGAAGCGGCTGTACGTGTCTCCTGAAGCACGGGGGATGGGCCTCGGAAAGGCTCTCGTGGATGCAATCATCCAGAGGGCCAAGGACCTGGGGTATCGTGAAATGAGACTCGATACTCTGCCGTCCATGGCTGGAGCGCAGCAACTCTATAGACGTGCTGGGTTTGTCGAGATACGAGCCTACTATGAGACGCCTCTGGAGGGGACTCTGTTTCTCGGATTAGATCTTCATTGATTTGTCAGGGTTTGTGCGATCTATATGTTGTATCATCAAGGAAGCAGAGTCGCGGTACTATCTGGCAAAGTACAGTAATAAATAGATTCATCCAGACTCAGACTGTTGAGCTTGATTTGGTATTTGGTCACCCACTGCAGTTTTCGCTGCCTCGTGTGCCAAAGAAGAGATGTCATCATAGTCTGGGAAAAAGAGTTGATGGAGAAGCCGTCACGAGCTCGACATTACAGCTCACGGGCAGCTACTCCATCTGATGTAATGATTTACATCTGGAAATCTGGAAACAATACTTTTGTTTCTGTGTAGGTAAACTTGAGTGCTCATTATTATTCAGTGTTGTTGACGAAAAAACCGGGAAGACGATGTTGTGTGGTGGCCTTTAAACTAGTGCCTCTAGTTGGGTCATGTGATTTTCTTATGCTTATGACTAAGCGACAGCATATCTCTAACACTAACTAATTATACTAGCCCTATCTAGCTGTGTAAACTTATCAAAAAAGCAAAACCTCAACCACATCCACTTCGAATGCCAATCGATCCTTCCAAATACTCCATGCTCCAGACATATCACGAGTCCATGACGGAGTGTAGGATATCACATTTTGAGACCACAGACAATCCACCATGGGATCTGATACTGACCGCCATCTGATATTGGTCCAGTCTCAATTCTCAATGCGGAGTACACTTTCCAATCCGAGTTCTGAGCCAATAGTCTAGTGTTCAGCATGTGATATCACGTACACTATCTTTCTTCAGCGTGATTGAGTTTTGATGTCTCTGCGATGATCAACAAGCTTCTTAGTCGAAGCCTTTCCTGCGAGGTCTGGGTAATGTCGAACATGATGTGCTAGTGGATTTGGTGAGTGCGCAGACAGACCATTTTCACTTGGTCAACTGAGTACATGGTAAGTTGGTCTATGGAGTCATCTATCCTGCCATTATTGCTGTCAGAAAAGCACGAGAGCGCAATTGTCTGTGGTCTCTACTTCGTTCCCATCATACGATTATCAATTGTCAAGCATGATCTTCGATTGCTGCTCTTATTTCTTGAGCACGGTCAGTAACCTTGAATATGTCATCATACATATTCATGCATTAGATGGTCTTAGCGACGGTGAAGACAAGATGGGCAATGCCTAACCCTTAGCCACTGCTGTGGAGCATAACTAAAGGTACATTAGTGAACTAATAAAACCTACACTAGCAGACATGACGAATTGACGATCACAGATGTGGATGCCCATCCAACCCAAACACGGAATGGCTTGTTTATATACATTTGTGTGAGATCTGAGACGTAATAAGCGCTCATCCATGAAGATAACCCCAAGGGAGATCGTGCCGAGGAGATACCGTAGTCGCACCTGGATTACACATCGTCACCGCCTCGCCAACGATTCGATTAGACGACTCAATCAATAGTTCTGGCGACATCCAAACGAGCGGTCAGCTTTCAAAACAGTCTGAAAGAAGTCTGTACATACCATTCATGCCCACTTTGAACATACACATCCACATCCCCATCCAAGCTCGACCCAAAGTGGGGAACCATGCAATATACAGCTCAAGGCAGTTACCTTTCGAAATTCCAACCACGAAACAATACACAACATGATTCCTCATCAGTTAGAGACTTAGAACATACCGATATCAGTAGCCTACAGTCTACAATCAACAAAGCTCGCCTCACCAACGCCTCTGGCATGCAGACTACTCTATACGGAATAAGCTAAGGTAGTCTAGTCTAGCCCACGCACCTATCGTCTTTAGTCTTAGCCTTGACCAACTATCCTGCCATTAAGCTCAGCTCCGTTCCCGGTCTCTGGAATCTGGCATTTCACTAGCGGTATGGACATATCGCCAAGTGATCCGATCAGCATTCAGCATTATCATTTACTGGCTGGATGTAGTTACTCCGTGGTTACTCCGTAGTCTATGCTGTACTTACTGAGGCGGTACGGGGTACACTACGTACTGCGTACAATAGTAGGTATCCACTATCCACTCCATAGTATGAGCAGTTGAGCGGTTGAGTAGTAGCACTAGCGGGAGAGTAACAGTAGCACAAAGATAACTGGGCTGCATAGTGCATACTCATACTAAACTCGGGGTCTGAGGTTTGAGGTATGCTGACTACCACAGCCACAGCCACACCCCAAGTATGACCTACCTTCCTAGGCTAAATAGAACTACCTTACTAGGTGAGTATGGGCGAGGAAGTACATTCCGCTGTCGGAAGATCTTCAGGCAGTAGATGCCGCCAATAGGGGCATTGCCATGGCTGGAATGTGGAGAGAAGTACCTAGTGGCTTATATGGACTTAGGTGCTTACTGCCAGTGCCACTATTGGCATGTCCCAACGTTCATAGCCATGGACTCATGGTCCATGAATGACTGGATTTACACAGGAATGGCATTAAAATAGACTACAAGCATGCATATTGGAAAGCAATACTTACAGGAGTGAATCTCAGATGACCATTGACCTCTAAACAAGCCCAGATACGTGCCCCGCATGGGAAATGTGATGTGTCCACCTTCCAGGCTTCGAAAATGTTTCTGTGCTGGCCGCTTGGTCCCCTGGCTGGGAATTCCTTGCCACTTGTCACTTGTCAATCGGATCGTCTTCGCAGTCTACTGACGGTCTAAAATAGTCCGTACTCTGTAAAACCCACGCACGCGTTGGCGAATCATTGCTTGAGGAAAAGGGTTTCAGACTGATCGAATTATGAAGATACGCTAAGGCCTTGTTGTAGGCATCTAATCCGTATCACGTACCATATCTTCTCAAGGCCCCAGAGAGGATACTCTAGGATGTTTGAGACCTGGGCTTATTTTTGGAAACAAGCAGTAAGCCATGTCTAGTATTATTATCTCATATCGTACGTTGCCAGTCAATAGATCAGTCAGATCACAAACAAACCAGTCATTCAGTCCCACCACATAGTATGCCCCGTTCCAGATCTTGTCCAAGTCATGCTGTAATTATCCCAGCCTGGATTTTGTAGTAAAGAAACAGAACAGAGCAAGAAAAGACAGACGTTCCTCTCCACAGGACATATTATAAGATAGAAACACATAGTGATTAAACATGCATCATCCAATAACCCAGACGCGTGTTATACAACAGGAAAGGGGGAAAACGAAGAAAAGGAAAAATAACGCCGCGCAGCGCCGACCGGGGTCTCTTGGACCCTATATGTCTGTGCCCATCTAAAATACTCAAGGAAATTCTTTGTGTCGACTGCGTCACAAGGGTATCATGGTTCCGATCCACCCATTAATCTCTTCGTAGTCTGTCTGTAGCTTCCGTTTCGTTTTGAAAGTTTTTTTTTTTTTGTTCTTTTTCCTTTCTTCTTTTCTTTTTTTTATCTTTTTACTCATCCCATTCCATGCTGATCTCGCGGGACGGCATGGACTCGTCCAGCGTCCCACCCGGCATGGGGCGACCGTCAGCAGTAAGTGGCCCCCGGTAGTCCGGATTGTAGTCGGGACTGGTCTCATCCAAGGTGGCCACATAGCGGTTGCGGCCTCCACGTTTGCTGTGGGTCTTGGTGTAATGGGCATTGAGGTTGTCGCTACGTGAGAAGGCTCGATGGCAGCCGGGAACCCAGCAGACATGAGGCTTCTCTTTGGAGTGGCTCTTCATGTGGCGCTTGAGGTGTTCCTGTCGCTTGAAGCGACCCTTGCAGCCAGGTTCTTTGCACTTGAACTGCACCTGCTTGATGATGGATGGCAGGTTCTCAAGTGACAGGCTCTGCTTGGAGGACTGCTTCCGCGCCATCTTGCGGGATGGCTGCCGCTGCAGACGAACTCCTGTCGCATCTCGGTAGACAGGCGACTGGTGGAATTCATCCATGTATTCACCAGCGCCGCCAGAGAGACGGCTCAGGGGCGTGTCCGCTCCAGAGCCAGTGCCCAGGGAGCACGAGCGAATAGGCGTAGCCGGCGAATGTGTCTTGAAGGTGTTGATGGAGTTGGAGAAATCCGTGTAGGATGGAGGGGGAGTTACTGGTGCGACTTGGGACGGAGCAATGGTCTCCGGCGCAATCGACTCCGCATGGCCCATCCATGGCATCATGTGGCTCATGGACAACGATGGTGGCAGGCGCTCGGGTTGGTGATGGAAGATGGGGCGCGACAGGCATGGATTGGTGGCCGACTCAGGGAGATACGGCGCAGCGTGGTGGCGGTAGTTGCTGCGAAGCATGGGCGGATATTGGTGCATGGCCGGCGGGCATGGGAGTCCATGAACATGGTGATCGTAGGTCTTGGGAACATCCGAGGGGAGCCAGAACTGATCCGCGTTCTCGTCATATGATGGCAGGAAATCCGTCACCGCCATGCGATCCTGTCCATCCAGGCTGCTGTACGGCGGCAGACCCATGTTCTCGTGAGAAGGCATACTGGCGAGACGGAAGTGGCCGCGTATGGGTGTCGATCCGGTACCTCTCTCGTAAGCATGGCCGGGATATGACCCGTTCTCTGGCCAGCTTGGAGAAGCAAGTGATCCTTGGCTGTAGATGCTCGTAGGGGTGGGTGTGGGTGATTCCAAAGGCGAGAAGCTGGAGCCCATAGATGGACATTCGTTGGAACCGAGTGAGTGGCAGTCGACTTCAACGGCCAGGCGATCAGACATATTACTCTGGGATCTCATATCCTCCGTGTCTTCGAGTTCAATAGCTCTGGGGCGTGTGTCGCTTTCACCTGTCAACGGAGACGGTTTAGTGTTATTAGTTGTGCGAGACGAAAGAGTGTGCAGTCAAAAAAGAATGTCTCAGTATAGACCAATTGTATATGACCAGTGCGATGGTAGAAGGAATGTAGATATGGGTAACGAAGGTGCAGGCAAGTAGAGACTGTATGTCTGGTACCAGGCTGTGATGCCAACGAGAGACAGTGTTGCTGGGAGCAAAGGAAAGAATGAAGGATGGCCAGCGTAGGAAGCAGGCAGAGACAGAAAGAAGAAGGAGTGTGTGATGGAAGAGAAGAAGGGA